TCTCAAGCCTCTACTGAAGCCACTACAACTAGAGATACAGCACTGCATTGATTTAACAGGACGACCAGATCTTGGAGGATACTTAAAGTTTGCAATAGCTCCCATGAGCACAGCCAGTCTTCCTTACCAGTTCACATTAGTAGAGGGAGGAGAGTTTAGGAGTGATAGTTCATATGGTTGTATTAGTAGAAGGGAATTCTGTCTAGTGTGTGCTTGTGGTGAGTGTAATGGAGGAGGAAGAGGTACTACTGAGAGTTTACCATCAGGATCCAGCTCTTTAGCAGGTGAGTAAATAATGTATGCATTAATACATAATTATATACTGAATTAATACACACAGATCCTACATCAGTAGCTAGACCCAATAGAGAAGCATGTGGAACCATAGACACTTTATAGTAATAAAGTGTCTATGGTGGAACAAACAACTCATCAACTAATGGCCGTAAGTAGACACATACTTAACCTTCATTTGTAAATGTCATGAATTAATCATTTATTTTATTCCTCATTGTTTGTTTTAATTTTGTAGAACAAAATGCCCATCAACAATTAGAAAGTCATGACAGTGATTCAACTAGTGTACAGTCCCAATTATCAGAAGCTACTAAATATGCTGGACTGGTTTACTATGAAGAAAGAGAGGATCTGGTGACATTCACTGCAGCTAAGAAATTAAATGCTCTCCTTGAGGTATGTCATAAATAAAATTATTACTGGTTTATTATTACTTATACAGCACATTAAGAAAGAATATTCACATGCTAAACGAGGACTTAATGTTTACTTTCGTATTGCATCACCTGATGGTTTTATTGAATTAAATTTAAATGCTCCACAAGATGAGCTATTTACTGGATGGAGTATTAAGCCTCACATGAAACCTTGCAGAGTATGAACTATGTTTATCATTATGTTAATCTATCGCTCATTCTTTTTCAGTTATATTTAATAATTTTGGTGATGAAGAATATTCTCTTCCTCCATCTTGTCCAATTTCGGTGTATGGATCAATTCATGCTGTTCCTACACTACACTACTCCATACCACTGGAAGGTGTAGTTTGTCCTGTTACACTATATATTCATAGATCACTGAGAACAACAAGTAAAATTTAGATAAATCATTCTCAATTGTTTGTTAATTTTGTTATTAGATCCTAGTGCCTCCTCCTCCTCTAATACATTTACTGAAGTTACTGCAGTATCATCTAATGGAGGAGCTAGTAAGTAACAGTATGTGTGAGTTTTATGTATGGTTTGTGTGTATTGGGTTATATTGACCTTTGACCTCTACTAGGTTTACCAGCCAATGTTGATGTTGCGAGAGTTAAGAAAGTGATCAATGGTGTTCTAGTGTCTCACCATGCTTCTCTTACCTCTCTTAAGACGTCTCTCTCAGATCTTGCTAGTCAGTTATAAACAGCTGGTCTCATTAGTGATGAAGTGAAAGAAACTCGCTCAATGGACACATTCATCACTGAGTTCAAGGCTAGTCTTAGTTTTATGAGAAAGCTACCTCAAGTGCAGGAACACTGTCAAAAGTTCTTAAACTCATTCATTGCTGTAAGAGGCAGTTATGCCAATGCAGCAATCACTTTAGCTGAGGACTGGATTGAAGCTGTTACAAATGAACTGGGATTTGATTTTAATATTAACATTGATTCTTAATTATTGTTTTATTCATTTTTGTATGACACATCATAATTCTTGTGGTTTACCATATAGCACACACACACACACACACACACACACACTTGTATAAAAACTAAATGTATCAGTAATTTCAGTATTAGCTCAAAGAGACATGTTTTATTTAAAAAAATTAAAAAGTAACTACATTAAAGATTATTGAAGTCGTACAGATACCTGATTATTTCAAATTTAATACTCCTAAAAATAAATAATTATTGGCACATATATATTTTCGCATACTTTGCAATTATCATTATCTGTTTGAAATTTAGGAGGCACTAAAGAGATAGGAGTGCAAGAGAGAAAGAGGAAATATAAAAATACAAACAACACAATGCAGCCAATTATAAATTATAATTGTGACATTTACATCTACATAGTGGTAGTATTTTAAGGATGTCAATGGAGAGTAGTTGTAAACAATCAAAAATTGAAATGCTAACTCGCTTTAGATACAAACTAATTCTTTACTAACAAACCTTATGTTACTGTATAGCGGGTTTATTTAGAGGATAACAAATTTCACAAATTTCACAGATTTTTGAAGATTCGCAAAACTAAATTCCTTGAAAATCAATTTATTACGGTACAAGATGGCAGAAAAGTGGCAATTCGCGAAAATTAATTCTGTGAACCTTCAGATACAGGCCATTCGTAAAAACTATTATCCTTGAGATAAACCCGCTATACGGTATAAGAAGGAAGGTGACACCCTGAAATTGTGTGCTACTATTGCAGCAACATAACATACAATACTGTATGTTAATAACAAATATTATTAAGCATGTGCATGGGCAGATAGCTTGACTTGTTTAGAGTTACATGTACAGTACATGTATATGCACTTGTACTTCTATCCCAATTAAGTACTTACTTTGTATTTAACTGAATCGATTGAGCTACATATAGTTCTATCTAGGTACTTTAGATTAACCAATGTTTCCACCTGGAGAGAGATAGAGAGTTAATTATATACACAAGCATTCAATATAGTCCTTTCTCCTACTCAAAAGACAATTATTTGTGACAAAAAAAGCACAACCACTTGTGTTCCATTATTCATAGTCATTACCAGTGTGTTTATGAACTGGCAGCAAAGTCTCTAGGTTGTTCCTATAACTAATTTCACTCACATGCAATGTTTGTATATTTATGTTATACTTACAATTCTGCTATACACGTTATATTGGAAGAATAACAAGCCTTAGCAACTACCCACCCAAGCTCCTTTTACGTAAGTGGCTAAACAAAATGGCAGCTTACACATGGGATGAAGTTAAGAGCTTTCTAATAGCAAGAGAACATAGAGATACTGTCTAAAAACTTTTCTGGAAGCATTAGAAGGTAGGGAGAACCCCTACAAGTCTTACGAACCCAGATGTACATGCAAGGTGGTGAAAAGAATTATAGGAATATTTTTTACACTTAAATGCTTGTTCGGTTATTAGACATCAAGGAGCATTATTGTGCACCCTCTGTTAGTGTGACAACACAAATCAATAGAAAGGTGTGAATACATGTACATGTACATGTACATGTAAAATTGCAAACAAAATGTTACATTTACAATCCACCCATCTACATGTACAACATGCAATACACACATAGACACACAGTTTGTGTAAAGTAATGTCCATACATTATATGAAAATTAATCATATGTACATACAGACGATACAGTCAATCTACATGTATGTGCATGCTGGCTAATAAAGGAAGAGTATGTGCATGTATTTGTCAAGTGTAATAAACAGATACACCAACCTTCCTCCATCTCCCTAGCATCTCTACCAATCTCCCTTCACACACTCTCCCTCTAACTCTCTCTCTCTCTCTCCAACTAATCCTCCCTCCTTCCATCTATACATGTAACTCTCACTCTCCTTCCTCTCTCCCTTTGTACCTGTGAAAGTATACTACGAATAGTAGAACTATTTCTATGACAGATACTGGTGTAAATCGCCATTAATCTTTCCAATGATATAAATTTTGGACCTAATAAAACATGTTTTATCTATTGACAGGTAAGATCCTGTTATCATAATAAAAAATAGCGTACTTCTCTTTTCTTTTTATTGACATACATCTTCTCATTTTTTCTCTTTTTTTGTTTTTTCTAAAAATAAATTATACATGTAGATAAACAAATTACATGTACATGTATATACCAAACAAAGGACTGAGTCTCATAGACCAAGAGAAGGAAGATGGTACATACATGCATAATACTTAACGTTAAATCAAATCATACATGTACATGTACAAGGGCCACCACTGAGCATTTTGACATCCATAGCAATAACCAGTGGAGTAATTATTAATTATAGTAATTATTGTTATAGACAAGCAGGGTATACATGCGTAATATATACCACTCGTATCGACTTACATGTACATGCACAAACAGTAAATGTGACAACAGACACTTTTGAAAATACTTCAATTCTCAATGTACATGCACATACAATAAATGATGCTCTGATGTTAATGTACATACATGTACATGTACCTTGGAAAAGAACCTTCTGTCTGAAATCAAAGGATTATACGATCCAAGATAGGATGCTATAAGTAAGTACTTTAATGAAACAGGAAACTCTATTGAGGTATGACAAGAAACTATGACAAAAAACAAGTAATAGCAATAGCAACAACAAGAACAACAATAACAATAATACATATATAAACTTAATGACATTGTACCTTGTTTATGAGTCCACATTTGATTGATATAAATCTCACTATATAAAATACAAAATAATGAATAACAAGTATTAATAAGTACTATGAATAAAATATTAATACCTACTGCTTATAACTAATACCTTGATTGATCTCTCAATATTAAATTACTAATGTGAGCTTTAAAGTGTGGTTCAATGTGACTACACAGCTTCCAAGAAGCAGACTCTGAAACTGAGAACAAAATAGCAAGAATGAAATTATTAAGAAATAACACGCTGCAGGTGAGAATAAAATAATTACCATGTCCTTGTTCCACTGGCTTACAGTATAAAGGAAAAAATATATTAGACTAAAAGAATAAAATTTTTTAATTAAATTTAAATATTGTTGGTGTCTTACAATATATAACAGATCTTTGAGATCTCGACTGATTGGGCTGATAAAATCCCACATAATGCTTGCATACCTCTTTAAAAAAGGCATTGAGTATTTTGTAGTTGTTAAGTTACATGCACATGCATTAGACAAAATACTAATAACATCATCTGGAGAAAAAAAGAGAGAGAATCACAATCCATCCGTTATCTTTTAAGTACCTTTGCTATATTGTGCAAAATGCAGCTTAAATGGTGTCTTTATTGTTAGCAGTGTCTTTGTTTTGAATACAAAACTCTTCCATTCTAGACAACTTATAAAAATAACACAGACATTTGAAAGCGTCTAAAATAAAAAAAGCTCAGTAAAAATTTAGATACACAATTACGTCTATAATAAACATATACACTCACCAGTTCCTGTATTCTAATCAAAGCTGGTATTATTGTATCATCCATTTTCCTTAATTCTTCAGAATCATCAATAACTATATATACTGTATCATTAGCTTCACGATCTAAGTCACCAACAGATCTAGTTAATATTAATTTCAGCTGCCTAACAAAACTACTAAGCGAGTCACAGCGAGAGTAGCCGGATTGTGTAACACCTACATGTACAATAATGAAAATATTATTACAACTGCAGGGTTTCCCTATGTTGTGTAGAAAGATCAAGTTATGGCTCATTCTAATCACAAATGGATTTTTAACGGTTTTTAAAAGTAGGTGCAAAATTCAATAAACATCATGCAGCCCATTAAGCACATTTATGGTCATAGCATTTACATGTAAATGTAATAAAAATAATGATAATAATAATAATATTAATAATGTTACCGGTTAATTGGTGCAAGATACTTTCAAATAGAACATGTCTGCAATAACACTCTTTTACAGAAATGAAGCAATGTTTTACCTAATAATAATAATTGACCATACACAATGTTAATTACTTTACTTTCAATAATGACAATAAAGATTTAATCAAAGAGCTCTTCCCAGTTGATGGAAGTCCATGGATAAAAATAAATGGGACTACATAATTGCTGGGCTATAAATATGACGATAATAAAATAATAATTGACATTTACATAGTTTTATTATTAATTACATACTTTTCTCATTAATGTCAACAATGTGTTGATCTGGTTTCTTCGTCCAGGGAACACTTTACATAAAGCATTGGCTGGATTGTATACCTACATGTACATATTTAGTAACAGAACGCATGTGACAAAATATACCATAGGTTGGGATATATTCGTAGCTGTTTATTTCTGCAATTTTTTTCTAGCACTCAGCAATTACAATGGCCAGATGCAATTTTAATTGAAGAAGGCGCGATATTAATAGCACAGCATTCTGTTACAGTGTTCTTGAATCACTGTTCTTTTTGCTGTTACTAATCATCGGTCTTTCTGGAGCTGTTTTAACCAGAGCCACTTTCCTTGCCTTGAACTCTCCACCAATTCCAGTTGAATGTGGCTTCTTATCACCAGCATGTGGACCAGCAAGAATTTACCGCAAAGAGCCCTGAGGTAGAGGTCCATACAAGAAGCTAATGTATAGAGAACCACTCACTATTAGTGAATGGCTAAGTACATGGCTCCACTAAAGCTGTTAAAAATAGAAAAATTCAAACACTTGGTCTTATTGCCATAGCAACATTCTATTGATTTCCATGAAAATCGTTTTATTATTTTTACTATCAAGAAAATAAGCAGCTGTGCAAATATATCCCGACCTATAGTACATGTACAACTAAATAAGTTATATAAAATGCATTTGAGTATATAGCCACAGCTTATAGGCATACCCAATTACTTAATTGTATATAACATACATAAAAACAAGATTGAGTAGGATTCTAGAGTAAATTCGTAAAAAAGTAACGGAAACAATGAGCAAGTTGATTCTGAACGACTGACTATTCATACCAACAAAATCGCACTTTCGTGATGCAAATCTACTCTACATTCATTGCATTTTAAATTATCATGTAACAAATATAGATTACCCTGTAATGTAGAGTTAAATTTGCGTCATGGGAGTAGGGTTTTGGTTGGTATGAATAGTCATCACTTTCGCCAATATTAGATAACAATCTGATGGGACATGAACCTGCGCATAGACTGCTGAAGTAGAATGGTGTAAAAATTAGTCTTGTAACACTAGCCAAGATTAAGATACACATCGACAACTGGATTGACAGGAGATGATGATGACTGAAATGAAAAAAGTGGCTGTACAAAACAGCCGTTTTGCCGATTTTTGACTTTCCTCTTAGACAAAGTTTAGAATCCTCTGGTCAAGATAAAGTCCTCTAAAGGCCTCCATACACTACAGACAATATGTTGCCAGCCTTTGATCTTTCTTTCAACCTTGTTGAAAGGAATAGAAAGATTTTCTATTCAAGGCAGCATGTTGCTTGACCACATCAAAGCATGATCAAAGGCTGGGCAAATGTTGAAAGCAACATTGTTGAATGTAGTGCATGCTGGGCTTA